TCCCCAAACTGCATCCTGCTATCCAACCAACTGTACCCCAACAGCAGCATCACACACCACAATACTGATCTGTTCCCCAACTAATAGTGACATTAACTGCCATCTAACTGATTTCTTAGTATTCCAATGGGGGTATGGGGGCTGGTCATGTATTGGGGATCTCCCATTACAGTGGGGTATATATATAAGTATAATTATGATTACCCAAACTTTACAGTGGCCTCTCCTAATGATTTGTTATTAATATTATTATTAGTTCTGTATTTGTTTCTCAGTACATGAAATTACTTCTCCATCAGTGAGCAGTAATGTTGTGCAGGAAATCTGTAGCAACCAATCAGTGAGCGGTAATGATAAGCAGTAACCTCTAGCAACAAATCACCAAACTGTAATAATGTGCAGTAACCTTTAGCGACCAATGGGTGAGTGGAAATGATGTGCAGTAACCTCTAGCAACCAATGGGTGAGTGGTGATAATGTACAGTAATCTCTAACAACCTGTCAGTGAGTGGTAATGATGTGCAGTAACCTCTAGCAATGTGTCAGTGAGCAGTAATGATGAGCAGTAACTTCCAGCAACCAATCAGTAAGCCTCGATCAATCAGTGGGTGTGGACCAGTTCTTTATGTTTACATTATTAAAGTTTTTTTAAAAGATAAGTCTGTGTGGGATGCACCTTGTTGGACCTACTCTTTAGAAAGTCAGCATATTTTAGAAAGTTGCCTGAATGAGTTCATATTTAATTGTTAAATATGAACAAGGATTGTTAAATCCTTGTGCCAAATATTAAGTTGCAACTATGATAATAACAATTGGGCTGATTTAATAAATAAGTAAAGGCTGTGCACTTGAAATTAATAATAGTTAAAGTGAATACCTAATCAGCTGCAGATCCATAAAGCTTTTACCAGATTGTGTGTAACTGAGTTGCAGGACACTGCCACCTTGTGTCTCTTTTAACATCCTGTAGTCTGAATAATAGTAGGGTGTTACAGGGAGCCATGCCCCTTACTGATACAGAGAAAAGGATTTTATGAGGAGTACAAAAATCTTATTTTCCCCTCTACTGTATGTTGAGGAACACAGCTGGATAGTAAGAAACCTAAAGATATCCAAAAGCAAGTTAAAATGAGGGACAGGTATACCCAAAACAACACATGTGAATCAGCCCTAGAAGTGAGAAACTTGCAGAACCTTTCGATCAAAAATTGCATCTGCAGAAGCAGACACATTGATCTTGCCAAATATAAAGAAAGTATGTGCAGAAGACCAGGTTGAAGCCTTAGAAATCTGGACACTGAAGCCTGTCGAAAAAACAAAAAAAAACAAGAAACAATCTAATAAAGTGGTCTCTAAAGGGAAAAGGAGACATTTTATCTTGCAACTCATAGACCTGAGTAACAAGAAGGAGTTGGTCAGCCTCAAAGAAGCAGTTGCAGAAAGTAAGACCCTGATGGCCCTCACTACATACAGGTATAGGCAGTCCTCGAGTTACAAACATTCGACTTACGAATAGAGGGAGAAACAAAAAGTAAGAGGAAATCTACCCATAGGAAAGGAAATTAATTCCTGTAAGAGTTATCATGGGAAAAAGGTGTCTCCACTGAAGGTTCATCACCTATCCTTGTTTCCACAACTACCAAAAATTTTCAAATTCTAATAGTCACAGGGACAGAAAGTGAGGTGAAATCTTTTGAACAGGGGGACACACAGCAAAACAAATATTACAGGGGTGTTAACCCTTCCATATGCTATCCTAAAACGTTTGCTTAAAAATATTTTCTTTTGGGTGGAGTTCCACTTAAAAAATGTAGTTGTTCCAACAAATTCAACTTAAAAACAATCCTACAGACCTGGTCGTGTTCGTAACCTGGGGACTGCCTGTAATGGAGAGAAAGATCCTTGGGGTGAACTGGTGCCAGACACAATATCTTTGTTAAGATGATAAGTAGATGAACAAGTGGCAGACACAGGCAACACAGTGGGCACAATCCACTAAGCGGTATCTTACCTCATCTGAGTACACAGTAGGATACCGCACAGCATTTTTTAAAAAACAAGTTTGAATTCACTAAAAAAAAAACGCTACTAAAATACCACATGAGTTATTTTATACTCATGTGGTATTTTAGTATTTTATATTCATGTGGTATTTTAGTGAAAACCATGTGTTAATGTTTCAGCTGTCAGTGGGCTTTCCCACTTACAGCTGAATGTAAAAGAAAGAACTGCCGGCAATAAAAAAAAACGGCATGGGGTCCCCCCTCCATCCATACCAAGCCCTTTGGGTCTGGTATGGATTTTGAGAGGAACCCCTACACCAAAATGTTTTTTAAAAATGGTGTGGGGTCCCCCCCAAAGTCTATACCAGACCCTTATCCGAGCATGCAGGTCAGGAAAGGGGGGGACGAGCAAGCCCTTCCCCCCTTCTGAACCATACCAGGCCACATGCCATCAACATGAGTAGGTGCTGTGGGGCAGGGGGCTCTCCCCCCCAAAGCACCTTGTCCCCATGTTGATGGGGATAAGGACCCCTTCCCACAACCCTGGCCTGTGGTTGTGGGGTTCTGCGGACAGGGGGCTTATCGGAATCTAAAAGCACCCTTTAAAAAGGGGGCCCCCAGATCCCGGCCTCCCCCCTATGTGAATGAGTATGTGGTACATGGTACCGCTACCCATTCACAAAAAAAAAAAAAAAACTGTAGTGTGAAAAAAGACAGGAGACAGGCTTTTACAAGTCCTTTATTAAATGAAGGAAAATAAAAAAATGGCCCCCGAAGTAGATCCAACATCAATCACAATGCCCGCTACCGCCGCTGACCCGAAAAAAAGAAAAAAAAAAGGCTGACGCTGGCTCCCTGCCGTCTGACTGCTCTGCTGGCTTGACAGTTCTTAAATATGTAAGGGGTGGGGTCACCCAGTGACATTACGTGTGTGACCCCACCCCCATGTGATATTATCGACCGGGGCATGCTGGGTTAGTGATGTCACATGGGGGCGGGGTCACATACATGATTGTCACTGAGTGGCCCAACCCCTTACATATTTAAAGAATTATCAAGAAAGCAGAGCAGGCAGACAGCCGGGAGCAAGCGTCAGGAGCAGAGGCTTTTTTTTTTCTTTTTCGGGTCGGTGGCCATCGTGACTGACATTTGATCTAGTTCGGGGGACATTCTTTTTTTTCTATATTTTAATAAAGGACTTGTCAAAGGCTGTCTCCCGTCTCTTGTCTTTTTTCACACTACAGGTTTTTTCTTGTGAATGAGTAGCAGTACCCCATACTCATTCACATAGGGGGAGGCCGGGATCTGGGGGTCCCCTTCCAGATTCCGATAATCCCCTCGCCTGCAGACCCCCACAACCACAGCCTAGGGTTGTGGGGAAGAGGCCCTTGTCCCTATCAACATGGTGACAAGGTGCTTTGGGGGGAGGTGCCCCCCACCAAAAACCACCCCCCATGTTGAGGGCATGTGGCCTGGTATGGTTCAGGAGAGGAGGGGGGCGCTTGCTCATCCCTTTCCTGACCTGCTGGGCTGCATGCTCAGATAAGGGTCTGGTATGGATTTTTGGGGCGACCCCCATTTTTTTTTTTTTTTACATTTTGGCATGGGGGTTCCCCTCAAAATCCAAACCAGACCCGAAGGGCTTAGTATGGATGTAGGGGCAAGTACCATTCTCCTGTACGTTGTTTTTTTATTATTTTTTAATTTCCGGCAATGACAGCTGATGACTCATAGGTTGTTAAGGACTTGGCGGCCACCCATTCCTTAACAACCCATGACAGTTAATGACAGATACCAGTACATACCGCAAGCCTGGACAACTACTTAATTACCGCATGCATTTAATTATCTGTTTTCGTTTGTGAATTAACTTTAAGGTCTTTTTATGCGGTATTTATTTTTTTGCTGTTTTCAGTAAATACTGCATACTAGCAATAGTGAATTGACATTTTCAGTATTGCATGCAATATGTGGTCATGTGACTGACTTAACTCATGCGATACGTTTTAGTGAATTGTGCCCAATATCTTTATTATGGTGAAAGGCAGATGAACAAGTGGCAGACACAGGCAACACAATAACTTCTAAAAAGAAGATACCACTTTGGGTAAAAAGGAGGCCTGTGTCCTCAAAACAATCTTGTCTTTATGTATGATGAAACTGAGCTTCCTACAGGACAATACTGATAACTCAGAAACCTTTCCTCCTAAAATGATGGTCATATCATTACAACTTAGTTTGAAGATGTAGGTAGATCATTTGTTGAGAGAAAGATTGGATTTGTCCCATGCCCTGAAAATGTTTCATGCAAAAGTCTCGAGTGGAATTGAGAAACCAATTAATTAAAGGTGGATACCACCAATCCTAGCAGTCGCATATACAGTAGCAAGGAATATCAACATCAGAAATGAGACTGTTGAACATGATTCTGTAGGTTTCAACTTTGCCCAGGACAGGAAGACCCTGACATGAAAGATATTTATGCGAAGACCCAAGAACTCCAGATGTGACACTCTTAAAGATGACTTCTTGATGTTCAGAATCCATCTCAAATCTTGAAGGTCCTCATCATGACTGACACATTGGAGTCCAAGGTGAAGGAGATTTGTTTTCGCATGAAGGTGATTGTCCAAGTATGCAGTGATTGGAATACTTCTGAGATAAGGAAGGAATTCGAGCAAGGACCTTTGTAAATACACTGAAGACTTAGACAAGGCCAAAGTGAAGGGCTACAAACTGACAGGGGTTGTTATGCACAGCAAAAGAAAAAAATCACAGATTACTTGGAAAGATGTGAATGTGTAAACAGGCATCCTGTATATCAATGGATGCTAAGAATACTCCATGAGAAATGCAGGAAACAACCAACAGAAAAGATCCCATCCAAAAGTACTGAAGATATATTGCCAAATGTATTGGGACACCCCTTCAAATCATTGGATTCATGTGTTCCAATCACCTCCATGGCCACAGGTGTATAAAATCAAGCACCGAGGAATGCAGACTGCTTCTACAAACATTTGTGAAAGAATGGATCGCTCTCAGGAGCTTAGTGAATTCAAGCCTGGTACCATGATAGGTTGCCACCTGTGCAATAAGTCCATCCATGAAATTTCTTTGCTACTAAATATTCCACGGTCAACTATTAGTGATATTATAACAAAGTGGAAGCAACTGGGAACAACAGCAACTCAACCACAAGGTGGTAGTACACGTAAAATAACAGAGCGGGAGAAGAACATGCTGAAGCGAACCGTCACCAACTGTCTGCAGAATCAATAGCTAAAGACCTCCAAACTTCATGTGGCCTTCAGATTGGCACAACAACAGTGCTTAGAGAGCTTCATGTGATGGGTTTCCATGTCCAAGAAGCTGCATTCAAGCCTTACATCACCAAGTGCATTGCAAAGCTTCAGATGCAGTGGTGTAAAGCACACTGCCACTGGACTCTAGAGCAGTGGAGACGTGTTCTCTGGAGTGATGAATCACGCTTCTCTGGCAATCTGATGGATGTGTCTGGGTTTGGCGGTTGACAGGAGAATGGTACTTGCCTGACTGCATTGTGCCAAGTGTAAAGTTTGGTGATGGGGATCATGGTGTGAGGTTGTTTTTCAGGGGTTAGGCTTGCATCAGCATACCAAGACATTTTTCACAAATTCCAGCTTTGTGGGAACAGTTTGGGGATGGCTCCTTCCTGTTCCAACATGACTGCGCAGCAGTGCACAAAGCAAGCTCCATCAAGACATGAATGAGTGGGTTTGGGGTGGAGGAATGTTATTGGACTGCACAGAGTCCTGCTCTCAACCCAAAAGAACACCTTTTGGATGAATTAGAGCAGGGACTGCACCCAGACCTTTTCTATTTAAGAGAATGCCCAAGAACTCCAGGAGATGTGAAACACTCAAAGATGACTTCTTGATGTTCTTCAAGGTCCTGTGCGTGTAAAGGCAGGCGTCCCGATACTTTTGGCAATATATTGTATAGGAAGGCATTAAGAGTATTTAAATACAATATTGGACGAATGCTGCCCTTTAGTTTCAGAGATGTAAACTGGTTTAAGTAAAAACCTTGAAATATTTCTGTTGGAGGATCAGGAATAATAACCCTCTGGTTCAACAACCCCTGAATAGCTGAAAGAAGGTCAATCTGATGTGCTGAGACACAGGAAACATGAAGGAAAGAATCGAAGCAGACAGCAGAGGCAAAACTCTATTTTGTAACCTTTTGATACTACCTCTTTCACCCATGCATCAGCTATGCGTATTTTATATTTTTTGTCCACCAAAGAGCCAATAAAGAAAATTTCCAACAAAGAGTAGGCATAACAAAGCCTCCCTACACGATTGCTCCACTGACCAACACTTAAACCATAGTGCCATTGATCTGGACAGAAGGAAAGATTACTCAAAACATAACCTGGGTAGCAACCAGTGCCATGTCGCACACGAAGTTCACTGCAGCAACCATCTGGTCAACAGTTGACAAGTTAAGTATCAGGAGGTTTCAACTACACAGTTACATAGTTAGTCTGGCTGAAAAAAGACAAAAGTCCATCCAGTTCAACCATTAAAAAAAAAAAAAATTATAATCCTATATACACAGTTGATCCAGAGGAAGGCAAAAACCCCCCAGCAAAGCATGAACTAATTTGCTACTGCAGGGAAAAAAAAATCCTTTCTGATCCCCAGAGAGGCAATCGGATATTCCCTGGATCAACTTTAGCTATAAATGTTAGTATCCAGGTATATTATGTGTATCTAAGAGAGAATACAGGCCTTTTTTAAAGTGATCCTCTTTATTATCCAGCCTGAAAGGGAGATCACCGGCAAGATGGCCATCACTGTGCAGCTGTGATTTTCTCTCACTTACCTCATCCACAAGATGTTTAATTTTTTGTCAGTTTATTTGAAATTTTTAACTGATTTCCAGATTCCATCATTTCCTGTAGAATATCTTTCAGCATTCACTTCCTGTAGGCAATTTGCCAGAAACCTTTGCTTCCTTGTTACATCACAGAAGACGGCAGGGTAGGCTGTGTTCACCACTCTGGACCACACCTTCCTTATTTCAATACCACCTTCCACCAACTTCCTATACAATTTAATTGAGAATCTCCTTTAGATCTCCCATCAGCTCTGTAATACAAGGGACGGTCTGCTTTGATACAAATTTCATAGATTGTTAAGGTGTGTCCTCCTATTCCATAGTTCTAGTAAAGCTAAAGGAACTTGTACGGAGATTGTACAAATCGATTACATAGTGAATGGCTATATTTATACAAGTACATAGGAGGGAGTGGGTGGAGACACTCAGTTGCCAGGCCCCCATTCACATCTCCATGTAGCGGAAACTCACATTCCCGCATGCGTTTGTTTGGGAGATTTTGTACGCATAGGGCAGCCCATTCACTTGAACGGGCTGTTGTACACTCAACAATCTCCCAAGAAAAGCTCTGAAGGAAAATGTATGTCTTTTAGGTCTGTCATTTTGTTCCCCCCCCCCCCCCCCACTCCATTCTATATTTTGTACTCCATGTTGATTAATTGTTTTCTATTATACCCAGAATGAGTTAATGAAAATATGCTGTGTCAGTTATGTGTTACAGAACTGTACTCACAATATTCTTCTATTTCTTATCTTAGCTTAGCCTTGGTAGAGGCGGAGATAGTATCCAACTATTTCTTTGTTTTAACAGCACCTGTTTCTTGTTATGATATAATTAAAAGTCAAATACTTCTGCCCCATGGGAAAGCAACTGTTGGATACTTGTAACTGATTTCAAGGCATGAGAAAAATCATGTTCACAGCCTTGACAAGTATCTAGCGAGATTCTATTGTATGTAGCAGATACGTTTTTTAAAACACTGTAGACACTTTCCTTATTTCTGGGAAAGTGAAACTCCGCTTCTCATCATTCTTCAGAATTGACTTCAAAGCTTGTATTATTTGTATTCAGCCAATTAATTACTGACAACGCAGCTTTTTGATACTCTGTGCCCCCCACCTTTCTTTTTTCTGTTATATTAATTTTCTTCCCGATAATAAACTAGAGAGATTGATTTCACCTATCACTGTGTGTATGTGTCTGTTGCTTCTGGGTGAAGTCAGTCCTCCGGACGCGTCCGTATCTTCAACAGACTGACCAAGACAGATAGCCAGGGGCTAGCAACAACCTTTCAAGCTCGAGGCCGTAGTTTTTGGTGTGTTTGTTGGACTTAGAGTAACATTCAATGACAACACAAACACTATGCACATTTGCAGCTTGTTTCTGAAACGCATGGCAAAGCCTGCATTTTCTGTGCCGTTTGCCATGCATTCGGAAACACACAGATGTGTGAATGGAGCCTCTTTGTTCTTGTGGAGCATTTTTCCTGTGACACACATAGGGCAGCCCGTTAATTTCAATGGGCTACGGTACATGTGGCAAAGTAGCTCATGGGACATTTTAGAGTGATGCAACTTGCACATGTTTTACTGCACGTTTTGCTGCAATTGTCACCCATTTTTTTCATATGGCAAAATGTGTGCTTGTTTCTGTGTTTGGTGTGCCGTTAACAATTAACAATACTAAAAGCGCAACTAGGTAATTTTAGGTGTATAAAGGTTGCCATACACTTCAATCTCTTTGTACAATCTCCTTTAGATTTACCATAACTATATAATAGGAGGACACACCATCTATCCAATCACTCTGTATCCAATCAAGCAGGCCCTTGCACTACAGCAAGGGTGTCCCGTGGGCTGCATGCGGCCTCAGTGAATTTAGCATTTGGCCAGAGCCCTTCTGAAGGAAATCCAGGCAAATACATGTGTGGAGAGATACCGGGGATGCTGTGAAAAAAAAGTTGATGGGTGAAGGGTGTGTGTTTTTTAAACCATTTTAACACCCTGATCACATTGAGTGTGACTTGGCATATGATTTGCATGCCATGCGACTATGGTTTTCATGCCATGCGACTTGCAAATCGTATGCCAAGTCACACCCAACTGTCCGCTATTAGAGCAGTCATATTGGTGCGGTTCTGACTTGGTCAGAGCCACACCAATTTCTAAAATAATGCATGCACTACTTTTGGTGCAATTTGCATAGACATCTGTGTCAGATATCTTGCAAATCGCACCTGAAATCGGCAAATCACCCAACTTTGAAATCGTGAAACTTCGCTGTAAGTTGCATGATTTCAAAATTGGGGTTGATGTGACCAGGGGGTAATACTGGTCACTTTTACCCCCTTCTTGCCCGGGCCAATTTTTAGCTTTCAGAGCTCTTGCAGTTTGAATGACAATTGCGCAGTCATGCAATGCTGTACCCAAACTACATTTTTTATCATTTTGTTCACCAACTAGAGCTTTCTTTTGGTGGAATTTAATCACCACTGGGTATTTTATGTTTTGCTAAATTATCGAAAAAAAAAAAACATTTTGAAAAAAAATTTTTTTTTCTTCGTTTCTGTTATAAATTTTGCAATAATTGCTCTTCATAAATTTAGGCCAAGATGTATTCTGCTACATGTCTTTAGTGAAAATAACCCAAATCAGTATTTGTTATTTAGTCTGTAGTCTTATTTAGTCTTTCACCATTTTTTTTTTAACATACTGTCACCAGTGCAGTACAGTGTCATCATATAACTGGTGTGGCAGTGTTCAGGGGCACTGACTGGTGACAGTACAAGAATAAAATAATAATTTAAAAAAAAAAACATTTTAATTTATATTTTAAAATTTGTTATTACATTTTTTTTCTTTTTTTCATGATTTTGTTTTCATAACAAACTGTGACCAAAGTTGTATAATGTTACCATAGTAACATTGTACTACTCTGGGGGAGTGATCAGTATTTTTTTTTTTTACACATTATGATTGCTTATAGCAAACAATTTCATTGCTATAAGCAAGCATTTAACTGAATGAAATCGATTCATTCAGGTTTTTTTGTTGAGTAGCTGTGATTGGCCACAGCTAATCACATGACACAGATGGGCTGTGATTTTCCCAGTATGTACCATGTGATTACTGTGACCAATCACTGCTAGTGACACAATTGTATACAATGGAGGCACAATCCGGGAGGACGTCATATGACGCCCACCCGGATCGATAAGAGTCCTGCTTTGACGTCATTTTGCTATTGGCGGGGCGGGAACTGGTTAATGAGATCAGCTGGTAATCTGCTTCCTGGACTTACTGACTCCTCTGTCCTAAATGTACATATCAAGAAGTGATGAAGAAATACAGCAAGGACTGAGGTAAGGCCTTGTTCTCAAAATCAAAGAGAGCTTGTATTTTCTTGCAACTGTGGTACATTAATGGTATATTGCTGCATATGGGAGTTGGATTTGAGAAAAAAAAAAAGTGAAATTATCCTTTA